AACAGATGTTTTAATAAACAGATGTTTTAATAAACAGATGTTTTAATAAACAGATGTTTTAATAAACAGATGTTTTAATAAACAGATGTTTTGTTGAACAGATGTTTTGTTGAACAGATGTTTTGTTGAACAGATGTTTTAATAAACAGATGTTTTGTTGGTCAGATGAACTTCAGGTCTCAGAATCGTCTCCACCTCACCTTGTCACAGACAGATAATCTGATCTGCAGAGTTCTACATTTCTGAACTCGTTTCAGTTTTGTGTTTAGTGATGTTTACTCAGTTCTACAGTGTTCASAAACAGCAGACACTTGTGTTTAGTTTAAAACATTTGATCAAGTTTTAGTTTGATAAAAATATAAAACTTGGTATTTAAAAGTTCAGCCAGCAGCATTGGTTTGGATCCTGTTTGTAGTGTTTATGGACAGGATCTCARCRTGCAGTCATGGAGAGGAGGGGGTCTGGTTTCAGAACCACAGGGTCTCATCTCTGTTGTGTACAAATGATGTGGTTCTGTTGTAAGTAAGTAACATTTTATTTATATAGCAACTTTCACAGAATTAAATTCACAAGGTGCTGTACAGTGAAGAACACCCATTCAAGAAGACACACATGACAAACATGGGGGAACAGGTGAACAGGTCATTCAGCAACAGAGACAGAGACAGTTGCGCTACTTTTAACAGCTTAAAGAAAAAAAATTAAAAACCACACAAGGGAAGATGAGGACAAACAAAACATTGTGGTGGAAGGATTTACCAAGAACGCAGAAACAYGTTGGAATAAATGCACAGAAAGTCTGCGTGTATGGTCGTCAGATGATTTAATGTGAGCAACAACAAACAGAAGTCAGTCAGCTAAGTCTGTCGTGTTGTGGCTGCCCCTCAGCGCAGAGCAGCCAATAATATAACATCATGTGACATGCTTACAACCAATCACAGTTCTCCAACTGTAACCACCTAACCAATGACAGAGCTGTCAGCCAGGAAACACCTTATCAGAATAAAAGAGGTCATGCATTTCTGGAGTCCTGAAGTCTGGGCTGATAGAATAAAACAGCCGAAACTAGT